TTTCAGGAGTCCTCCGGGATTTTATTCGTGAGGTGTAAATTAATATGGAGGAGGGATACTAGATACTATCTAAACAGTTCCATGCTCTCCGAATGAAATCCACAAATTAACTAATTAAAAGAGCGCATTTAATTTCATTTAGAAGGAAAAAATCATGAATGGGGAAATTTCACTGAAAATTCAGTAGAATTCTGAGTTTTAATAGCAAAAATAGGAGAATATTCCAAATTACTTGAGCTTTCCGTCAAAACATGAATATTTATCACCAAATTAGGTTGAGTTTTCAATTCATGAAGAATTCATAAGAATATAATTACTTGAATTTTACAGATTTTTATTAATTTTCACGAAATAATTGAACTAATATGGATACTCAATATTCACATTTTCATTGACAATTCAAATAAGTCGGAAAATTCTCGTCTTTCTACTGAATTTCCAGTGAAATCTTAAATTTCATAATTTTTCCCCCAAATCGAATCCAATGTCACTCGAATTATTCGATGAATTATTAAATTTTCAATTAAGAGGAAATTCAGTGCAATTTGGCCCTCAATATTCACATTTTCATTGACAATTCAAATAAGTCGGAGAACTCTCATCTTCCCCTCATGGAAAAATATATAAAAAATACATATAATGCAGACCAATTTAATATATTCTTTGAATATATATAAGATTTATACAAAATATATATGAAACATATAAATTTATATTTTATACAGCTTTTCTACATAAATCAGGCCAATTCCATACCTAAAATACATAATTTTCAGAATACATATCCCGTACGGGTCCTGCGATAAAAAAATTAGAAATTCCCCTGAATTTCCCGTGAAATCTTAAATTCCATAATTTTTTCCCCCAAATGGAATCCAATGTCACACCCCTGGAAGCTCCTAGCCAACAGCTCCCGAAAAGTTTTTCCACCAGTGCTTGCGATCCTCCCCACATGTTCACTGATAACAATTCTATCATCAGGAATCAGCAAGTGTTGGCGCCGCCGTCATCTCAAGCTGCAGACGACATAATTCGTTGCTCAGCATTGTTCGTCCCACTGCTGGGGCTTCTCAGAGAAGTGGAGAAATTTAGAAACCGTTATTTTTTAGTCCTGAGGGCAGTTAAAGGGCCGTCCCGTCGAGGGAGGTCTTCCTTTCGTCTATTTTTCTGTTTGCCCTTCGAGAGAGAAACCAGGGGGTTGTTGAGATGAGGATATTTCTAATGGTTCCACGAAGTCCTTCAAGTGCCGAAGGTACTTCCTCCGGGGGCGAGAGAGGCCTGATCCTCTGGACTGTGAAGCAGGATATTTCCGGGGGTTTTGTTTAGAAGTTTCGGTATCTTTTATCCTTGACACAGCAAAATGTGCGTTTTGTTCTGTTGAAAATCCACCATCTCTGCGAAAGAACCCGGTAGTTCCATGAAAAGATGATGAATGAACTTCCAAAGGGGTTCGGCACTCTTATCTGCACTCTTCATTTCCAGTAAATTCTCCCAGAATTTTTCTCCACCGATGATTAATTCATTCAACTCGAGAGATCGGAGGCCAACTACTCATTCTTCATCTTCTCGAGATAATTCTCAATGATGATAACTCAAAACCGTTAGCTTATCCCTAATCTCTCTATGAAAATTTCAAACCATTTTTTATCCCAATTTTTTGCCTTTTTATCATTTTTATTCAGTTGGAAACTTCATTCATGCTCCACAAAAATACGAATGAGTTCATCATCAATGGAATTATTTATCAGTCTTATCAACTCTCACTTTCTCCGAAAACATTCTGAATGATGATGGTATTTCTGGCTATCTTGGTAGTTTTCAAATACTCGGCTTAATCGTTATATCACTCACACAGAAAATATTGTGCGGCTTTTATGGATAAGCTCCGCGAACCTGAGCCACTTTGCGGGTATTTTACGGATAACGAATTGAACTTTACATGTAAAGTCCATGTCCCATGGGAATGTTTACTATGTCTTCTGGGAATGTTTAATATATCCTATGGGGAGTGTTTACTATTTCCTGTGGGAATGTTTACTGGGTTCACATGGGAATGCTTAATATGCATATGGGAAGGCCCATCATTTTCCCGGAAAATGGTCCTTCGGGGCATAGGAAGCTCTACTATGTGACATAGTAATTCAGTAGTGAAGTGGTCAAACGGTTTAAGTCAATTCCATTCTAGCGCCAGTTCTCGATGAATATGTCAAATTCTGAAGGAGTTAGCAAAATTATTCGCAGGAAGCTTCACTACGTAACGTAGAAAGCTCTACTATGTAGCATAGTAATTATTTCTATGCCCACAGAAGGTGGAATTTCTCACGTTACAGGGGATTTCTACTATGTATATTTATAGGACGCTATCACTGTGTAACATGGGAAGCACTACTATGTGAACTATATCCTATGGGAGTGTTTACCCATGGGGATGCGTATCATGGAGGAGGTGATGGCATAGGACGCTCTACTATGTGACATAGTAATTCAGTAGTGAAGTGGTCAAACGGTTTCAGTCAATTCAATATCTCAAATTCTGAAGGAGTTAGCAAAATTATTCGCAGGAAGCTTCACTACGTAATGTAGAAAGCTCTACTATGTAGCATAGTAATTATTTCTATGCCCATAGAAGGTGGAATTTCTCAGGTTACAGGGGATTTCTACTATGTATATTTATAGGACGCTATCACTGTGTAACATGGGAAACACTACTATGTGAACTATATCCTATGGGAGTGTTTACTCATGGGGATGCGTATCATGGAGGAGGTGATGGCATAGGGCGCTCTACTATGTGACATAGTAATCATTACTGTGTCCATAGAAGATACAACTTCCGATGCTACGTGGGATTTCTGCCATCATGTTCATAGTAGGCTATCACTATGTAACACAAAAAGCTCTACTATGAGACATAGTAATTTTTCCTACATCCATAGGACATACGATTTTCTACGATACATAGGATTTCTACTATGTATATTCGCAGGAAGCTTCACTATATAATATGGAAAGCTCTATTACGTAACAGTAATTATTCTTATGTTCATAAAAAGCTCTACTACGCAACATGGTAATTATTCCTATACCCATAGCACCCATTCCCGAAGCTCCCTAGTAACCACTGCGATGTTCAATGCGCGTCATTCCCACGGGTATAGTGACACTCCCCAAACTGTTCGAATGTCTCCTATGAAAAAATCTCTACCCAAGGATTTTTCCAATTTCATTCCTTTCTTCTGTTTTCATTTTTTTTTAAAATGTAATATATAATATAATAATATAATATATTTTAATAAAGTTTACTTTTGAAGGGCGATGAATCAAATAATTAAAAATAGTATATTATTTTACTAGTGCGTAAAAATTCAATTTACGCACACTAAACCGTTTCAAAAAGTGCACTTTTCAGCCAGGTATAACGGAAATGGTAATTTTTGAGAATCACGAGCATTTTCTATAAATAATTTATAAACAGTCAATTTTCCACTCCAAAAATCATTCTCTGAAAGTTTCAACAATTTCAATTATTTATTTATGAACAATGAATGTCCAAAAAAATAATAATCCTATCCAAAAGCAATTTAAACGACGCTAAATATTCATGAGTGTTTTTCAAATTTTTCTCAATCAGTTTAATTAAAAAAATCTAAAAGATACTTGGATATCCTTGACATCCCCGCCACACCATCTGAAACTATTACGAATTATCATATGTCCGTCAATTAGCGCATTTAACCTTAGTTCGTCAACTTGCAATCTTATTTGAATAAATATCTACCCAATCCTCAAAAACCGAACTAAATCCCCAAATAGTCGCCGACACGAGGCTAGCGCCCCCCGACACCGCGGATCCGAGCCATTCTCCTCGTTCTCCTCTCGTATACCCCGTCCTGCCGAAGCACGAACTTCGTTCCCCGAGGGTGGGAGTCGCAGCCACAAGTGGCGATCACGTGAGGTGGGGGTCCCCCGCTCACGTCGCTCTGCTCCCTCAGCACCGCTCCGTGTCCTCGCGCTCAGAGCGAATGCGCAGCGATCGTGTGCGTGTGTTCCCTCGTGGACTCCACGTTGAGCCGATCCCAGCGCAGAACGAAAAGCGAGAGAGACTGCGACGGCGAGGGAGAGAGGGCGAGCGCCAGCAGGCGCCCAAAGAGACCAAGTTCGGTCCCATCGGTGGGGGTTGGCGGGGGGGCCACAGTGGGGGGACGGGAAATAGTGCCAGATCTTTGCGTGGCTCATCGCTTGGCGCCGAAACTGGTGGGGGTGTCCGCACAAGTCCCTCAGCGCTCGTTTCATCAGCGTACAACCAGACCTCCGTCCGGCATTCTGACCTGGTAAGTCGCCAGTGTCGGATCGTGAAAGATCGGGACAAAGCCCTCGTGTATCTTTCACCCATTTTACAATAAACCAGAGGGACAGCTCAAGCACTCGATAACCAAATAAATCGCTCACCACCGAGGATAATGAACAATTAGGGAGAAATTTTATATCTAGAGTAGAACGACTAAAATATTCAAGTACCAACGGAAACAAGTACCCCCTCCAAAGGCCCCACATTACGCTTACGAAATCGGTTAAATTCCCTGTAATTAATTTATTATCTAGTGATTATCAATTAACCCAGCAATAACCCAAGTGAACGATATTCAAGTAAATCCAAAGAGTGTTTCCGGGAGGGCCGACACTCGATAACAGAAATATTTCGAGAATTAAAAGTGTCTGTGCACGAGGTGCCCACGAGGTCGATTTTATTATTATACCCACAGGCAACCGCACAGCTGAACATCAGAGGTGAAATTCGAAGTTTGTTTTGTATATTTCCAGTGGATAAATAGTGTACAAGTGGTTTTCGTGATAATCGGGGGATTTTAAAGTTTAAAATTCCCTGTCAGTGAACTCCAAGTTGAGAGAGAGAGAGAGAGAGAGAGAGAGAGAGAGAGAGAGAGAGAGAGAGAGAGAGAGAGAGAGAGAGAGAGAGAGAGAGAGAGAGAGAGAGNAAGCTGGGGAATTGCAAGTGCTCGAGAGAGATTTCTAACGCTCGCCACGTGGAGATCTCCCAACGAGGCATCTACCCTCGACTCGAGTCCTTTTTTATGAACATTTTGGCGTTTTAATTGTAAAATGGATCTTCTGTGCTGTGAGACAACGGAAACGGAGTGCAGGGCTTATGCTGATCCAGCATTACTGGGGGATGAGAGGGTACTTCAGAATCTTTTGAAGACTGAGGAACGGTACGCCCCTAGTAGCTCGTACTTTGAGTGTGTCCAGAGGGACATTTCACCGCTCATGCGCAAAATGGTCGCTGAGTGGATGTTGGAGGTGAGTTTTTTTCGTCTAATGGTAAAATACGGGGCTTCCGGTTGAGGGCACGTGGAGACGGGATATTTAAATCGGGGGAGCGGCATTTAAACGCCCTTTGCCGATGACTTTGGGACATTGGGGCCGTTTACGGAGGTTTCAAGTCACGCCAAGTTTGGTTGAAAAACGTAAAGTTTAAAGTAGCTCTACCCTTCGGCCGGGCTACGCTGTACTTTTGAATATTTTCAGTTTAAAAAATTTTCAACTAAATTGCATGGAAAAAACTAGAAAAAATTCATACCCAGTCAGTATTATCTAAATTAAATTTCGCAAAATATTGATATTTTTTCAAACATTTCCCTCTTATAAATAAATAATAAAACTTGTTTGCAAAACGGTGGATTGTTTTTTATGAGGGGTCAAAAAAATTCTTGATTTTTTCACATCTAATGAAAAAATTCAGATTTGAATTTTTGACTACAATGGAAATGTTGATTTTCACATAAGACACTGGGTTGAATCCTGATTTTTAAACATTTTTTCTTTGAAAAACCAAAACGATAATTAAATTGAGAAAAAAATTAGAATTCCGAATCTAATCGAGTTTTCCAACAAAGAAACTTGAAATTTAATCATTTTTAATAATTTAATAATTTAATTTAATTTAGAAATTCAATCATTTTTTTTCACTGCAAAGAACAATTCCTTCCCTTTGTAATGAGCCTAAACTGAGCTCAATTGACAAATTTGTTTCTGAGTTATGAGTAAATAAAAAGAAGTCTAGAGTGTTTATTTTACCCCACCCTCCCCGAACAATAAAAAATTAAAACAAAAAAATAATTGAATGCATAAATTGAATGACGATCAATAGAAAGAATAATTAATCACATCATTGCACACTAGTAGTAGTGTTGAAAGGTGAAATAATCAGTACCATTTTCATTAATTATTTATGGAATATTCAACACAAGTTGAAATCAATCCAGAAATTGACCTGTTTACCCTAGACATAATCTCCGCGAACTTCAAGCGACTTGAAGTCCCGATGTATAGCCAGTTTGTGAGGCTCGGGGTCTCGGGAGGTTTTTTTATCGAACTTGGGGGTGATTGGAATCCTGCTGGCGATGAGAGGCACCTCTAGGACTCACACGTGCGCGAATATTTCTTGAGGTCGGCGATCCCGGCTCATTCTACTCCCTCAGTGCCATTTGCCTTGACATCCGGCAGATACTTGATTACGAACGGCTCTCGTAATACTTCGGGAGTAATTGTTGGGGGAAGTTTTTTGGGTTCACAAGGGTGAGGGGGTCGAACGAAGATTCCAGAGAGCTTTTTTAGTGATGGGGACTCGATGAAGCAGAAGAGTTTTCTTTCCTTGAAGTTTTTTTTTATTTCAGCATTTTAAACCAATTGGTTTACACTGCTATGAAGTATTGTAGCACAAGGTGATGCATAATATTACATAACATTCATGTAATTGACATAAGTGTATCATATCTCAACATTCCTTCAAGAGTAATCTTCTGAATTCCCCACCAGCTTTCTCACATTTTTGGATAAATTAGTGGAGTTTTGGGAATTCATATTAAGGATGGTTATCCAAAATCGCAAGTACTTAAAAAAAATTGATTTTTTTAAACTAAAAGATGAAGATATTCCCTTCACTTTGATACAAATTTCAATCCACCAACCCATGTTCGTTATTTAGAAATGAAATAGACAAAATGCACCGAATGCATGCGCTAACATGCGCTTATATGGAACAGAATCATTTAAATATTTCCTCTTTTTGCCCGCGTACCCCAGAGTTTTCTCCGGCCATTGAATTCAGTATGATTTTACACATTACCTTCTATTTTTATTTCTATTTTTAGAGTTTTCTAGCAGGTGAATTATCAATTTGTCACGAATCTTCTATTTTCGAGAAATGTCTAGGGGGACATCTGGTGGAAACTTAATTACAGAGAACTCTCGTAATAATCAGGGTTAATGATCAGCTAGTATTTGATGGTTTTGTTGATCGAAAAGACGAGGGTATAGGACATTTAACAGACAAATGAGCTCTACAACTCCAAAGATATCTTCACAGTAGAATGAGTAAAAATCTTGGAATTCCCATTTTCGAGAAATATCTCAAGAAGAAATGGATCTGGAGAAATTAATCAAGAGCTCTTTCCTCTCGCCCACTGAATTCCCCACGAAAAGAGTCTCCTCACATTTTTGGATAAACCTCGTGGTGTCCGAGATATTTACAGAGTAGTATTAGTCACTCTTATTGAGTTTCTATTTTGGGATTTGTGAGAAAGAGAGGAGCCAATACTTGTTGAACACTCGCAGATGGAAATTTATACAGTGACGTAACAACTGCCACTGCAACGACATCTGCGGGGATGGAGACAGTGGAGTCTTTGAAGTTTTTTTTTCTCAACAAATTTTTTTGTTTGTTTCCTGACCCCAGGGGAATTCCTGCGAATGTCAATTTTGACGTTGAGAAAAAAAATTGGACGATTCGTTGGCTGAAGCGTTTTGTCGAGCATCGGTGAATTTTTTACGCGAGTAGAGTATTCAGGGGTCTCAGGTATATCAAACCTCGTCGAGTTGAGAATGAAATTCCGCACACGAGGCAAATGGCGTTTCTTTTTTTTCGTCTCGTTTTTTCTTTTTTTCTTTCGACGTACACAATCAGTCTTGACTTCCTCTTTCATTCGACTATGGTAATAACTCTCTCTGCATACGTTTCCTGGTCGACAATGTATCCACGAGTTTAAAACGAATGGAAATAAGAGAAGGTGAAGAAGAGACATTTGAACATGATGAAACAAAAGGGAATGATTGTCATTTCCGAGGGGGGGGACAACGGCGTTGGTAATGAGTCTATCTGAATCGTGTTAATGCAGTGAAACATTGAGCGTAATTGCAGTCATCTCGAGTCGAGGGGGAATTTGTAAGAGTGACCTTGGCTGGGGTGGAGACCAAGAGTAGGAGAATGCGAGAGATGTATAAAAAAAACGTGACTGGACTCGTCGAACGTCTGCCAAGTTTATTGGCTTCAATTCCCTCTCTGGGGTCTAGGCACGACCAATCGAATTCACTGGGATGACTGAAAATCTCAACGACATTATTCATCATCTCTACCTATTGCAGATTGTTGTGCTGATGTTGCCAGAGGAGAATTCGTAATGTTACTGTCAAACTTCTTTGAATTACTTTCGCTCGGTCCCGCGGAGCCAAGCGAGACACAATAGGATTTTTAATCGAAAAATTATCTCGGTAATCGGCGATTTCAGGGAACAATTTTACGTGATATTTTAGTCTGAAGGACTCGTGAAGTACAAAAGGTTTCACATTCAGACTTTTGAAAATATTATCGTTATTTTAGGTGTGAAAATTTTTCCAAGTCCTTTTGTTCCACTCCGTGGAGTCGAGGCAGGCAGAATGGTATTTTTTAATCATGTAATTATCTCGGTATGAGCGCTTTCACGGAAAAATTTCCCTAGATATGTTAGGCTGAAAGCACTCATAAGATGTTTTCAATCTTTAAGTGACGGTATCGTAAATTGAGATATGGATTCCAGTATTCCGTTATTACACTCAAGAAAAACAAACGCCTCACCTTGAGTCTGAATTTCTCAAATGAAGACCTTCCAAATTCTCCACTGGAGACTTGCAGTCTAAACTTAAAAGATTCAAGCTTCACATTAACACTTTTGAAAATATTATTACTTTAGGTATTGTTTTTGGGTGTTTCAATGGAATTATCTACGAAACGAATAATGTTTTACTACTTTCACCCAAACTCTTTCATTCTCAGGATAATCAACGGATAAACAGCATTGAACGGAGTACCGAAAGGCAATTTCACCAATGTCATGCACAAAATTTCCTATCTAAAACCACTCATGAAGCTATTTCGATAACATATTCAATGTTCAAATGACGCTATAACAAATTGTGATATCTATTCCGCTACTATTCCATTATTATCAATGAAAATTCCAACAGCACTTTTAACAACTATATCAATCGATTTTCCGCTTCTCTCCGCTTAGTTATCGGTCAGCTGATAGAGACAAGCCTTTTGAACAACACAAACCATTCATTGTTAGAGGAAGGTGAGGAATTGGATGAATCGCGTCTCATTTGGTCTCATGAAGCCGGAAAATAATGGCTTTAGATTAGCAAAAAAAATTTAATTCCACACGGAGAGAAAAATTCAATAAAAATTACCAGAAAAAAAACCGTTAAAATTACATTTCGAAACGTAATCCGTGAGCGAATTACGAATCGCCACGTAAATTCTACGATTTGTCCCTTGAAAATTAACCACTCGTCTGATGACTCACCGCTGCCCTACTAGAAATTAACAAGTCGTTCCGTAATTTTTCTCAAAAGATTGAGAAATTTTACGGAACCGAACGTAGAAATAACTCACCAGCTTCATAAAAATTGTTGAACGTTCAAGAATTTCTGATTTTAGAGGCACAATAAGTCGGCAAGTTTCCGTAAGATTTTACTTCTTCGGGAAAAATTACGCGACAATCTCGTACTTTGTTCGGTGATGAACCTGCGAATTCACTGAACGATTCAGATTTCTTCTCTTCCATTCCTATAAAAATTGGCGGAAAGCGATTCCCTACTGCAGATTACGTGAATTGTTCCATAATTTTTACTGAATATTTCTCTCCGTGTTGACTAGCGAGAGATTCACCAACAGAATTTGCGATTTGAGTACATCTGAAGGTGTACAAATATTCCAAAATCATGTACAAACTTTGTCGCACTTGAAAAACACCTGTGCATCTGAATGTTTGACCCTCACACCTTCAAAAATTACCTCAATTGAATCCTCCGCTGGAGAATATTCCGCTTGTTTCAGGTTCATTCTGCATTCATAATATGAGCAATAATAATCTATTCCTCATTCAAAATACCACAGAGGTGAATAATTACCCGGATGAATTCCTCATTTTGCCTATAATTCTCGTGCCACTAGACTGGATCCCGAGGAAATCGCAAATCCTGACTGCTCCTTTTAATTGTCCCCTCATTATTATTGTTATTCCTCCTCCATCGTAGAGCGATTATAATTGCTGGAATAAAAGGGCACCTAGGGAAGACTCCGTTACGCTCATTAAGCCCCCTTTTTCAACGCTATCAAGCGATTTCTGACGCCCCCTCGACAATTTACCGCGCTCTCTCGTTCTTTGTCATGAAAAATTATGATAAGACTTGAAGTTATGAGATTTTTGTCACTGAGAAGTCAGACAGTATCCTTATCTGTTTGTCGAGTGATTCGAAGTTATGAAAAATTGAACTTTCAATTGATAATTTTGAAGATCTCTCGTGCTCATTGCGTGTTAACGCCAAAGATGGCGACTACCACGGTGGGTAGACTTTTAGATGAGGATAGATTTATTGTATGATGTTTACTTCCTTCGGGGCTCGTTATGGTGGTCGAGGGCATGGGCAAATGATCGAATTACTCCCTCGAGTGTAAACGATTATACGGAGATATCTGGGAATATAAAGTGTTTTGGGGGGGGGGGGATATGTTCAAGAATTATCTGCTAAGTTTAGCGAAATGACGAGACATTTTTTATAGCCGAGGAACTTCTGGATTACTAATTTTTATGGGGATCTCTTCAGACATCAGACGATATCAAGATGATTAAGGGGAGACTACACGTTGAAGGTCCATTATATATCGCTGAAAAAATTAATTGTTTATTGTTCGTTTGCCCCACAGATGCTCAAAATGTTAAAAATAGTCCAGGGCCTCCAATTTTTGAGCTACAGAGGTTTTTGTACAGTAACAATTACGAATTAGTTTTTTGAAATTCGACTTCTGCACAGCTAATTTCGTTTTTTTTTATTGCACCATTCCTGTAAAATAGCGCAAAAAATGTTTCTGAAAGAATCGAAAATATATTTTAAATATTATAAGGATATTTTTTTGCCTATTTTAAATTAATGCCGCAAATTTTTATAATAAACAAAGTGAAATTAGTTGTGTAGGAGTCGAATTTCAAAAAACTAATTCATAACTGTTATTGCATATATTTTTCAGTAGTCTCCCCTTAAAAAAATATATTCATTATTTTTGATATGTTAATTTCTCAAATATTTAAAATTGTCTCTCGTCTCACCTCGTCACATCTGCAGATTTCTAAGCCTCTAAGTATAGCCAATAGATAACTGGTAAGCGAAAAAACTTTCGCGCACCTCGAAAATTCTCCGAGAAATTAAAAAGCTAACGATTCTTTCATATTTTCATGTTCAGGTGTGTGAGGAACAAAAGTGCCAGGCTGAAGTGTTTCCCCTGTCGATGAATTATTTGGACAGATTTTTATCAATCTGTCCGATCAGAAAGTCACAATTACAATTACTCGGTACCGCCTGTCTCCTCCTGGCATCTAAACTACGAGAAACGCGGCCAGTTACAGCTGAGATTCTTGTCTTCTACACCGACAATTCCATCACACTTGATGACCTATGGGTGAGTTGATGAATTTTAATATCAATGTGTCAATGGAGGTTGTCATTTGTGATTTTTTATTGAATTTCCAATGCGTGTGAAAAATACGGCAAATATTCGCAGACGTTTGCAGACACGAACGTTTGAATTTCAATGCACAAGTACCGCTAGTTGCCTAGTTTAGACTATTTTCAAGGACTTGCGGATTTAAGCGCTGCAGAAAGATATTCGGAAGTGATGGTAATTTTAAAAAGGGATCGTGTGGGGAAATGTTCGGTCATGTTCAAGGATTCATGAATTCAACGTATTTGACTATGTAAAGAATATGATGATGTGAATAGAATTGTTGTTTCTTCTATCACGAAGCATTTAAAATATCTTTTGTTAGAAAATCAATGGAGGGATCTACATCATTAAATGAGATTTCAATCGAATTTCCGAAAACGAGACAATTTTTGGCGAATAATGTCGAAAGAAGAAACATTTTCTCTCAAAATCTCTCATTCTTAGGAGATTTAACGAATAAACGGAGTAACAAAAGGTAAATTAACAATTTCGTGGACAAAATTTCCAGAAAAGAAGTCAAAACAATTTCTACTGAAATCAATCATTCTGCAGATAATTTCATTAATACGAATTGCCTTCAATACCGGAATAAACGATTATTCGATAATTGCCCTGTTTATATTGAATAATTGTTAACGGTGAAGATCGATACCGTTAGTACCCCCCAAATCCACCGCTTTGAATGCAAAATACGCATCACGATTCGCATCTAATGCCCATACTATCAAAATATTTACAAAAAAGCAAAATTCGTTTATTCTGAATTTTCATTTGTTCTGAGTACTGAATTTTTGTAATTTAAAGTTCTCCCGAGGCAGTTTTTTATCGGTTCTCTAGGCACCGGGGGGCGATACGTCTGGTTATCACCCGTCCGTTACTTCCACACCGGCGAATTCGCGAGTTAGAACCCATCCGGAGATAATTCTCTTCTCATTCCTCATGCATTCTTTTTTCATTTTTCGTCTGTTTCGTGTCACGATACTCGTTTTTTTTGCGCCCCGTGAGAGGCGAATGCCACACAAATTCACGAGTCGAGATGACTCTGAGCGTTGAAAATTGAACGTTGAATAGTCCGTGTTTCGAGGGGAATGATGCAACTCGAGATCATGAGGTTTTTTCAACTTTTTTTTGACAACTCTGAAGCGCAAGGCGGGGTTTCTGGCAAACAAGTTGATAGCCTGAGCAAGCCTACATAGATAACGCCACTGATACGAGGAATTATTTAATATCAAAGAGATGGGTCTATGACAGTCTACGTAACCCTATTCTCAATTTGAAAATTTTCACACGAAATAAGTGGAAATCAAATTGTTAGACACGGAAAAAATCTAGTTGCTCTCCTCCCTATTCCACAACAAAATTCTGGGATGGAGATGACCACAAATATATCGAAGAAGTATAAATAAGTTGTGTAAATATGTATCGGCATGGGAGTTCCCTCACTATAAATAATAAATTAGAAAAAAAAGTAGAAAACCCTTGAAAAAAATTTTAAATTCTGCAATTCCCTGCAGTGAGTCAATTATTTTCTTCAGGGAATTGAGTGCTTCATTAATAGGGAATTCACGTGAATTTCTCGTTCAAACGTTTGTTATTCCTTATATCATTGAAAGAAATTTGTGAGAATAGTTTCAGAATTGTTGTTAAATTTTTTTATAAACAGTAATTTCAGTTTTATTCTGACAAAAATTATTCTCGATGAACTTCTTGGATTTTTTTTCTTAGTTTTTACCAATTACAAATTTCCCAAGATTTATTGCATTTTTCCTTGCAATTTCGGAAATTTCAATAAAAATTCCTCTCTATGCCAGGAATTACGAAAAATAACTTCATTAAAAATTCTACAAATCCAATAATAAGGTAATTAGCTCCTGACAATAATGGCTAAACACAGGGTGTTGCAAATGGCAATCAAAACAAATCGGAAGGGGTGAACAAGTAGGAAATGCGAAAAAGGGTGTTTCGGCTCTTTTTCCCCCCAGTGCATTATCGAATTGGATGAAGCAATGTGTCGCGCCGTATCTCCGCTGTTGAATTCCGGCCGGGTGGGTCCCTGGATCCACAGGAGCCATGGAGAGCAGGTGATAGCCAGGTGGTGTCCCTGGAAGGGTGCACCGGGCCCGTGCCTCGACGCCAGCTGCATCTAACAGCCTGTTGCACCCCTTCTTTATATCGTTTCTTCTCTTATTCTTTTCCTTTTATTATTCCCTCTATATGGTTTTTTCTTCGAGGTCTCTTTCTTTCTACACCACTAGAGAGACGACAAGTAGGAGAGAGGAGTCAGAGACACGTCGGAATCGCACGGCAGCTGTTTTCATTCGGGAGAATTATTTTGAGCGATTTTATGGTAGCTGAGACGATATTTAATAGATTTTATTATTTTTCGGGGGCAAAGTTGGAGGTGTTAAAGCCATTTGTTTCTTGGTTTAAAACCAATGATTTTCGTATTTGAATTGAGTTCGAGTCATGAAATAAATCCAATTAATGATGAAAATGTCGGGAAGAAATTATGAAATCCAATAGAAAGAAAATTTTTTGATAAATTTCGCTGGACTCCTTCCCTCCGAAAATATTTGCGAAATAAATTAAACTGAAAATTCAATTCAACATGCAATTCTTAGATACCGTGAACTACAGACTCAATTCAATTTCCAGGTCAATCCCCTCAAAATTTCAATGCAATAAAGTGGAGAATTCTTATCCCACAATCGACGAACTGTCGAAAAATTATCTGTCAGTCCCACGGATAATTGTCGTCGCACCTTTGAAGGGGGTGGGGGCGAGGGGGGCGGCAAAGAGTGATGCTTCAACCACCTGCCCCCGCAATTAAACCCCCGCACGTGACTCGAAACAGCGGTAATATCTCCAGTCTACGCAGTTCTAATTTAGCCAGCCTGGCTTCGCTCTCCACCTGCTTATTTCTGGATACCTTCACCATTTTTTTTTACCTTTGTCTTCACCCTTCCCTCAATTCTCCATGCACATCCGTCCATCGGCGCGGTAATAAGCTCCCATAACAATGAAAATGAACATGCGTCCGATGCACAAGCTGCAGGCGAAATAAAAATTTCGAGACGAGAACTCAAGATCACCGAAATAAACTGCATCTGAAACTTATTCTCTCATGATTATGACAAATTTTTATGCAATCAGTACAATAGCCACTTATCATTTTGTCAGTTTGTTTTTTTTTTAATTTTTAATTAGTTGTGGGTATAAAAAAAAATTAGTTCTAGATCATTAGAGAGTGTTAATCGTCGACATCTTCTGATTCAATGATGCAGGAATTTTTGGATGAGTCAGGTGTCATTTTAAAAAAATTGAGAAATTTCACTCAGCCATTCTCGAATTATCGTTCATTGAAGACCTCAGGATCTGCGTTAATTCTTTAATTACCTTCGACATGACTCGAGAGACATTTTAGTAGCTGAGAAAATTCTCTGCAAAAATTCCCCTCAACATTTTTCTCCAACTCCACGCTCTCGGGATAATTCCAATCATCGGAATGAGGTAAATCAACTGATTGCCTTTTATCACTTGAACAGCAGATTAATGCTCCCTCGATGCTATTTGTCCCCACCAATTACCTCCATGTGACTTGTGCACTACATGCCGCAATGTAAAAATAGCAAATATTTATGGATCAACAAAGTACGAAAATCCTCGCAAATAAATTAATTGGGTCTTCAGTGTAGGGCAAGAAACTAAAACCCGAGATAGTAAAACGTAAATGCGTAAAGAAACACCTGTGCACTGTGGCGTGCATTCACCTTGCCTCGTTGATCGAGTAAAAGATCGAGTACATCATGACATATGGCGTCCTGAACTGTGCATTTTCTTTTTATTTCTCTCGGAGGGGGATGGCTCACAAAAACCCCAAGACAGGAAAAGGAAGAGCGGGCCTCTTTGTGTTACATCAACAAATTGCGTGAGATCCTTTCTCAAATTTCTAACTGAACTCCATTTTAATACAGTTGGGTGCCTCAATTCGCACGTGGAACACTTTCATTTCGCGTTGTTTTTCAGAATAAAATTGTTAATTTCATGATATTCTTATTTTGAGGACATTTTCTGGATTTTCTGGGGATCTCCAAGTGTTTTGGCCACTTTTGCTTCCGAATGAAAGCTCTTTTTTTTAAATCAAATGCTTTTCAACAATTAAGTAAACTTTGAGGGTCGTTAAAGTCGAAAGAATTTTAGTTATTAAATTATGCGAACGAAGTGTCGAAAAAATAATCTCGTGCAGAATGTAATTTAAATGACACTGATTACCCAGAAATTATCTCAAAATTTTCGACCCCAAGTTGATCGTCGAATTTTAAAAAATTGAAAATGTTCTGACATCGCAATTAATTTCTTCAATGTCGGGGTTCTTTGTGTTGCGGCAACAACACGCTTGAAGTCATTCCTCAAATTTCTAACTGAACTCAATTTTAAGACAATTGGGTACCGTAATTCGCATGTGGAACACTTTCATTTTATATCGTCGTTCGAAATAAAATTCTCAAATTGATGATATCGTTTTTATTTTGACTACAATTCTAGGATTTTCTAAAGATGTCCAAATGTTTAAGCTATATCTTTTAATTGGAATCCTTTTCTCCAATTGTAAATCAATATTTTTTAATGATTCCATCCTTCAATCGTTAAAGTGCAAACATTTTCAGTTATTAATTTTTTCAGAAGGAAATGTAAAAAAATTATTAAATGCTGATTAAATTATCTGCGAATTTTCTCTCAGAATTTGATTGTTAAATCGAAAAAAAAATTAAAAATGTTCTGCTTCTGACATTTTGAAAAGCAAAAACACATGTTTCAATTAAATTAATTTCTCCACTGCCTCTGAAACTGTGTAAACATTATTTCATGCTTTAAAAATCCTAATCAGCAGGTAAATAATTCCCCCAATGTCTGGCAGTCCCCGTCGAAAGTAGTTCCACGCCACGTGCAGAGAAGTCTTTCGCAAACGTTCTTACGAAATTAATTAGTGAAATCGTTTGGCTGATTCATTCATTTAATAGCAACGCCACGAATACCGAGATCACTGCGTGAATCAATTAGGTAGATTCTCCAACTGGCATTAAAAAAATTCTCGAATTGATGAAATTAAAACCACAATTTCATTCATTTTATTCTCTCGCCGTCCGTGAAACGAAACGTGGTAGACGAAATATTCGCAGTGGCATTAGAAATAGTTTGACCATGAGGCCTTCGGTGAGGAAGAGGTGGGGCCGTCGACCGGCTCCGAGGCCACCGTTCTAAAACCCATGCTATATACGAACAAACGCGGTGCTAGATGAAAAGAGCTTTCTAACAATTTCAGTTTTCTTTTTTTTTGGCACGGACGAACGTTGCGGATGTGACGTGGTGAAAAATTACTCTATTGCTATTCATGACATTTGATTCGTGAGAATGTGGATAAGTTGGAATTGATTGAAATGTTGAAGACATGTGTGGACAAAAGTATAAATCAATTCATAATTTGATATTATTCTTCGTCAAATTATGAATTTATTCATTTCTTCGTTAATTTCACTTATTCTAAGTATTTCTTGAATGACATGTCCATTTGTATTTTTTTTTTCGTTTCATTGGCTCTTCCGGAGCCTGAGGAGCTATAATAATTTATAGATATATTATAAATAAATTCATAATTTGATTTTATTCATTTCTTTGTTAATTTCACTTATTCTAAGTATTTCTTGAATGCAATGTCCATTTGTATTTTTTTTTTTCGTTACATTGGCTCGTCCAGAGCCTGAGGAGCTATAATAATTCAGCGAAATATGCATTTAACGATTGAATGAACATCTTCGTTTTTTCACCAACATTCCATGCATTATTGAAATGTATGTTCTAGAGGAGAGCATTATGACCCTTGGTTATTACCGCATTTCCATGTCTCCCAGTTGGAACAATAGTTTCGCAGCATGTCATAGAAATCGTTTTATTCAATCGAAAAATGAAGCCAGAATTCGTTAAATCGTTATCAATTTGATCTAAAATTTCTCTGGGATTAATTGCCTCTACTGGTGACAGTTGGCATTATTATCCCTAATAATTATTTCCCAATTACAATGTCTTCATTAATACTTCATTAACACAATAATTTTGCGATATTTCATCGAGATGATTTCACTCAATCGAAGAAAGCAGCTGGAATTCTCCAAGAACCAATCAAATTCACAATTCTTGTAGCATTATTTCTTCCAAGCTCACCCCCTCAGTCTCGAGAATTTCATCCTCATCTCCATGTTCCCATGATCAACTAATGAATCTATCCAGGTCACTCCTCACCCTAATCACCTGAAGGCGAGTTTCGCAAACTTCTTCGTTCCAAACTATCATAAATCGTTCAGGAAATCCTCAATCCACCAAAGGTTATTCATTTCTTTTTTCTCCCTTTTTTTTTGAAAGAAGGTATGAAGGTAGAGCAGATGTGCCGGAAAGGTAGTTTCCAGGAAGGAAGGATCCTCACTGGTGAGGGCCAGTGGGGGCCAGTGGGGGCGACGAAGCCCCCAGTAGCGCCAGTCTCTCCTTCAAGTGGAAAAAGAAACTTGGACACCCATTGGCCTCCGCCTATGGATTCCCCCTCTTCTCGTCAATTTTTTTTTTCAGTTTCTTTCTTCTCCTGGGGACTAGGCATTCCGCTCCGGCTTCGGCATTGTACTTAATTTTCGGCCAGAATGGTAAACACCTTGCTCACACAGGCGCCGCCCCCCTATCTCTCTTCAGTCTTTTTATCCTCGTTTCACATCGCCTCGTTTCTTTATCCCTTGTTTCTTCCTCTACCCCACCTCAACATCCCCTCCTTTGGAAATCGTGTATATTCGCAGGTATAGATTCCTCAACGACATGTGGAGCCTGATAAATCGAGGGGACCCAGATTCTGGGAATTTTTATATTGTCTTTCGCAGGATGAGATTGCGGGCTTTTTTAGTCTCCGTTTGGGATTTTAGTTGGCCGAGCTGAAGGCTTTTTTGGGGGAATATTGAGAGTTATTGGAGTACAGGAGTTTTTTTTGTACTTTTTCAGAGAGGAAATTGATGGTGCAGTTGTAGATAAGAAAATAAGTAATGAACATGGTTTTTGGTGTTTTCATTTTTAATAATTCGTTTACGACGTGTAAATAACGTTTTTAGAGAGATGGGAGGACAGAAATACAGTTTTTAAAATTTTTATTAAATTTATAAAGAATCATTCGATACTTTTTTCTGGTGAGAATAAAATAATTGAGAATGAAATGCAAAAGTTTTTGTTTTCTATTTGAAAGCGGAAGTGGTTGATTAATCCCACCACATTTTCACTCTTCTCGTCAAAGATGCAATTATAAATGAGAAAATAAGTAATGAAAATATTTTTTGATGTTGTCATCTAAAAACATTCCTTTCGAGCTGTAAATGACGTCTTTATCTAAATGACAGCGTTGGAAACCCAATTATTTTTCAATTTCCATTGAATTTTTTAACAAATCATTCAATTCTTTTTGCAATGAAAAAAAAATCCTTAAAAATTGATTGTTATTAAAACAAATTCACTCGAAAAATCGGAAAATCATGAAAACGTTTTTCCGAACTCATCGGCCTTTGATCCTAAAAATCATCTCATGCTAAATTTCCCCGCAATTCGATGTTTATCCTGTGCGTTATATGACAAGCACGTACTAACCATTACTTTTCTCGGAATATCAATGCATCCTTCGAACGATTACAATTTTTTTCGTTTTTGCAAAGTTAATGCGTATGAAATTGAGTGCCCACACACGTATTCATACGTCTCTGTGCAAATAGAGCGGCTGAGTGAATGAAACAAAAGGAGGGGGACGAAGTGGAAGTCACGCTCATGAAGCAACGGTGCCCTCGTCTCCGTCATTCTTCGTCTTTCCTTACTTACACTTTTTACTCATTTGCTTTCTCTCTTGGAGTACGTAGGGCACGGTACGCTGCGTACACGCTCGAGTAACATCCCGAGATCTTAACTCGAGCTGACGATCCACCTCGAGGGCACTGGGGTATTATATCCATCATCTTCGGTAGTTTTTCCTCCTCGAGGATGTAGTATTAACGACGTTGGAATATTTCTCCCCTCCGACCCCTCCGCACCTGTTACAGCACCCCCCTCTCCCCTCAGTTATAAATTCCATGTGCATCACTAGAAAAAGTTTGTAATTTCATTTGAAATTCAGTGGAATTCCGAATTCTTGAAAAGCAGAAAAACGAGGTTTTTCTACGAAGTTAAAAAAATTTGACCCGAAATTCTAACACAAATGTTGGAAGTTTTATTCACACGTAGTCTGGTAAAATTACAACACTTTTTTTCAGGCACCGTATGAGCATTTTCTTGAACAAAAGATGAATATTCGCATACAGTATTGTAAAATTACCGGACGGGAAAAGGAACTTTATCATTTCGTGCTGTATTTACAAATTTACTCCATTCACCTGCCGTAATTTTACAATAGATTATACCGAAATTATCAGAATTTGACAGCGTCAAACTATTGTAATTTTCTCATACTGAAATTCCAATTTTGCCCCTTTTTTGTGCAATTTACCGGATTTTTTTATGAAGACAAGAGCATTCAGTATTAATTAATTCAGTATTGATTAGGAACTAATGAGATATTCACGTTTGATTTTTTCAGAGGTGGGAACAGCTCGTCGTGTCAAAACTCAAGTGGGAATTGTCGGCAGTTACACCCGGTGACTTTCTTCTTCACATACTGAGTCGTCTGCCCATTGATTCACTAGCGTGGGACTCACTCATGGTCAGGAGACACGCACAGACATTCATCGCTCTCAGTGCCAGAGGTGAGAATTATTCTTCTGCACATTGGGGATTTTTCGCGTCTTCGTGTCGATAATGACTGGTTTTTGAACAATTGAATTGTGCATGATTCATCGCTGACAGAAACTGTCTTTTAAGATTTTTAAACATCATTCATTATGGTTTGATGAGGTCTATTTAGGAAAACATTCACTTCTAAGTCATTACGGATGTCCAAGTATCTTTTCCATTAAAGTACGTGAATGAAAATTCCATTTTGCACATAATTATTATTTTTTTAAACTCGTTGTTTATGAATAAACAATTGAAATTGTTTAAACTTTCGGAAATCTTATTTATTTGGGCATAAATTCGATTGTTTATAACTTATTTGTCGAAAATGCTCGCAATTTTCGTAATTGCAATTTTTTTAATAATTTAATCAATCTGCCTCCAAAAGTAAACTTTCTTATTTTTTTAAGAGTTAAGGAATGTTTTCTAACGGTTCATTATCGAGATTCAAATTCAGACCTGCAAAATTTAAATAAATAGTAAAATCATTGTAAAACCTATTTGAATTTAGTTAATGTTTAATAATTCACGACTAATTTAGTCGTCTCGGCAATTGGTGCGCTTACACCGGTAGCACAAACAAATAAAAACAATGTCAAATAACGTGTTTTATTCGATTCAAATGCACATAATTTCTCAACCAAAAGATCTTTTTAAATTTTCTCGTATCACTACTTGTTACCGATATAATTCGACAATTAAAACTCAAATCTTCTATTTAATTGTGTCATTTATGCGTTGAATCTTCTGTGTGGAGCATTAAAATAATCGGCGTTATAACGAAAAGCAAATAAAAAATTTCAAGGATACCCTAAATCGTCTTATCACATTCCTCTCTTATCTCTCCACCGTTCACTTGCACCAGACGGGTGAGTGTAATTTTTTTCGTGACGACTCGGTCAATGCCTCCTCCTCTGTACCTTTAAACCCATTAGCATTCATGATTTTAATGATTTTTCATTGGTTTTATTTTCAGAGTACAAGTTTTCCATGTACACACCCAGCATGATTGCAGCGGCAAGCGTCGCGGCTGCTCTTCATGGGCTCGATTGGACGGGAAAAAGTGGTTATGGACTCTCTGGACTGCTCGATGAGCTCACCCGCATCACTGCCATTGAACAGGTTTGTTTAATTTTCTCGCCACAAAGTTGATTATTATCTTCTCGTTATTGATCTCAACTTTTTTCAACATCCTTCATTGAAAATTACTGCAATTGGAATTCTGTCTCGACAATTTATAAATTACGATAATTGTACCAATATCTCGGTTATTTGAGCAAAAAATTGCTCTGATAAATCAAAATAAAATTGCAAAAATGGGATGATAGTTCATTAAACGAAAACTACTTATCGCACTAACTGTTTCATGCCAAATTCTTCAAGTGATGTTATACTCTGGAAATCTTTTGAGCGATAAAAAAAATTCAACGAGTGAATGAATTACTATCTGATGTTGATGAAAATGCAGTTTTACCACAAATAATATTAATGATTGAATAAGATTAAGTGGAGAACAAAATACAGATTATTGTCTCCAATTTCTTATTTATTTGAGCAAAATTTTTCTCTGACAAATGGAAATAAAATTGGAAAAGTGTAACAGTTTAATTTCAAATTCTTCAAATCCTTCAAATGAAACAAAAATTCAAAGGGCCCAATAATTACGATTGGGTGCTGAACAAAATACCTTTTCCATTCCAAACAATTACTAAAATAACTGAATAACATTGACTAGAAAAAAAATAATGACCGATAATTCCGGAAAAATTTTGGAAAATGAAGAATTCAGTAAAATTTCTCATTAAAAATGAATAAAGAGTAAACAAATCCGTTGTAACACATGTGAATGACATATTTCTCTTTATTTTTTTCAGGATTACCTGCAGGGATGCTTCGAACAGATCGAGGAGATGGTCGCCCAAGCGAGAAATACGAATCACCAATCGTCAACGACAAATACAATGGGAATGAGTGCACCAACAAGGCCGTTGGGGGAACAGAACACGAGCCAGGACAAAATGATGGAGCACGAGAAAGCGGGCACCCCAACTGACGTCAGGGATGTCCACTTTTGAGCCCTGGCTCGTTGTTATCAAGTTGACGTTGTTTTTTCAATGATTACGATCCACCAAGAGGATGATAGCACTTGCGAGAAATGGAGGATATCTGGGGAGATGCACGAGGGACCCCGAGGGACTCTGCAACGTCTAGAAGAGGATTGCAACGTCTCCTGAAATTTCTTGAGTGAAATTGACGAATTATTCTCTTTTATCGACCATAATCTTCTCTATTTTGATTATTGAACCGTTGAGAATAAGTCGGGAGACGTTCTGGGGGAAGGCAATGCAATACGCTTTACGCATTAGTTAAATACACTTAATTTTTAGCAATAACGAATGATTACATTTTACGGATGAATCCAGAACGAGAAAAACGATTGTAATTATTTCACGTCACGAATTTTCGACGAATGGGGAGAGGTGAGAGGGAGCGATAAATGTTTATAGGTAATGAGATGAGACCAATAATCATAAGAATGAATAAATATAGTCATACCCGAGTCAACTAGCGTTTTGTACATATGTGAGAGAGGATTTTTTTTATATTCACACAAACTGCTAATGGTTAGTTATTAATGCATCAATATTTTCCTTCTCCATCTCGTTTTACTTCGGTTTTTTAAGTCGATTTGTATCAATGAGCGTCCGAAAAAACGATTCGATTTAGTGTGTGGAGGAGTGCGTGTGAATGAGTGTTTCATTAAAATCATAAGTCGAAGGAAAACGTGAAAATAAAATAAATAAACGTTGAAGCAAGGAAGAAGTTTAAATTTGCCTGCGGATTTATTTTTTTTTACTTCTTGTTTTGTGAAGAAAGTCCGTGGAAAGTTGGCAGTTCACATCCACGTTAAATATATATTATATTTTTGTAAAGAAAAGAGATGAACAAATTCAGTTTCTTTTGTCGTGTTGAAAAATCGGAGGTTGCCGTTTTGTAAATATTTATAGTATATAGAGATGTTCTTATTGGAAGAAAAATTCTTTTTCTCGTTTTTTAAGTATGTAAGGAACAATGTCGGAGAGTGAATGGGGGTGTGATTATGCCGGCAAGATCTGAAGGGGTTTCTTGGTTCATTGAGCGTAACGTTTGCCCAATGTCTGGAAAAACTGGTTAGTACTTAATGAGAAAAAAATATTGTAGACGACGAATTCTAGAAAAAGTGTAACATAGAGTGGAATGCTGGGTTGAACGCTTTCTTATTTTTTTTTTTAGTCAATGGAATACGTCGTCTGCGTGTCCCTGCATTCGTGGATGATTTTTTTTTTAAGTTAGATTACATTGTCAATAACCAAATTGTAGTACAATCTAGGCGCGAGTAATGTAAGAATTCTGGAGATGTCCGATCGAGCACTGCCTGTTTGATTAGCAGCCCGGAGAGATGCGAAACAATGCATTTACGTGTTATGTCATTTACTGATTTCAATTGTATTTTTTTTCTGCGTTTGTAAATTGAATTATTCTGCATTTATTATAATTTTTATGAAAATGAGGATGCGGTACGAAAGGAGATTGTTTTTTTGTTTTTTTTTAATGATTTTTTTTATGGTTTGGTCAGTTTTGGGAGGAGTGGTGGAAGGAGATGAGTTCGGTTTGTTATTTGGTTGACATCTTTGAAATTGCTGAGTTTAGAGAGAAATCCCTTCATATTTCCGCCTAAATCTCTCATTTTTATAGATATTATCATAAAAATATGGTTTTTTTGGAAATTATTTGAAAACTATAGCTGAAATAAATGACTTTAACCTCAGAAAAATGAGAAGTGAACAAAAGACTTCAGAGAAAAATGTCACAAGTTCATTGTTCCATGAAAAAGGTGAAATGAAAGGTGTAATTTCCGTTTAAAACTCTCAATTTCAACGATATTTACAAAACAATATTCAAATTTTCATCACTTTTCGTCACTTCAAAACTAGATTAAATATTGATTTGAAATTTCGTTTAGTTTCTCCTTCTTCAGTCGTACTACACTCACTCATAGTCGAATCAAACTTGAATGGTTAACTTTTATTTGAAATTCGAGAATACCATACTGTCACAAGTGCTTTCGTTCAGTCTCTGCTGTTGTAAAAACCAATCAGTTAACCATGCAATAGAACCACTGATATACCTCAAACCTCGCACAAAAAAATGTTCACAAGATTCCCGATTATCGTCTGATCGTGAAGAAACGATTTTAGCCACTGGAATCACAATAACTATTTTTTTTTACGTAGCATACTTTAATACTATTATTATTTTTTAATGATAACCACAAACTTGTAATATGTAGAACCCCAAACACTTTTGTACATATCAATGTGCGTTAACGATTTGCGCATAGTCGATTGAGAATAAAGTATTGGTATTTTATACAACCAAACTATTTTCGTTTATTATTTTAGAAACATATGGCACAGCTTTATTTTTATATTTTACATCGGGATTCACGAAACGTCCAGTTTAGACTCGCGATTAAATTCATAATTTCCTACTTGAATTGACGATGAAATTCAATTTGAGTGTCTGGAATAAATCGTTATCATTCTCAAGATGCAAAAGTGCATGATCAGGACAAAAAATCAAATTTTCGGTGTCTCCGAAAAGAATTCAAATTGATTTTGTCACTCAACTTGCAAAGGGACATCCGTTCCGCACAACTCAATATCAATCATTCAATTGACACTGAAAATCAATAGCAATCATTTCGGTTTATTCTGATTTCCCGACGAGTTGTCTCAAGGACTTGAGATTATGGAGTGCTGAGGAAAACAAGCTCAGTCATTGAGTACTTCATCAGCTGGTATTCATAATGCGGAATGTAGTGTGCAATTAAAGATGACTCAGCGTCAAATATGGCACTGAATTCAAGTGTTATTTTGCAAGATATGTTAATACGCAAATGAGCAGATACCGGATAACAGTGTAATATTCAATGCCGCAAATATTGTAATCATTACGAATTATGGAGTTTTTCGAAATACAAGTGGACACCGTTTTCCGGGGCGATGAAGATCCCACGTCTGGTAACTCTAGCTTCGTACGATGGATTCACTGAGAAACGATAGTTGTGTAGCATTCTGATCAAGCCAACTGCAGTCTGCAAGCTTCCAATCCTCGTGCCTGGAACGAGGAGTCGAAGTTAGAATGAATGAAGAACACTGTTAAAGTAGCTCTACCCTTACGGTAAATTCAAAGATTATTGAAAACTGCAAAAAAATTGCAGAAAACTCATTAGATTCGGAATTCTATTTTTTTTCACTGAATTTTCAGTGAAATCTGAAATCTCGTTATTTTATTACAACAAATCGGATTCAATGGCACATATCCATGAAATTAAACATTTTTTTAACATTAAATGAGATTACCAATGCATGTGCGAGGCCCCTCGCCGAAAGGCATGTACGTGCATGCTTCGATCTTGTGCTCATCGTTGAATCTATCGGGATCGAATTTTTCGGGATTCGGGAAGTATTCTGGGTCCATGTGTACACCAGGAAGCGCAACGTACACTGGAGTTCCTCGTTCAATGATCACATTAGTGTCTGGTATCTGAGGTGAAAATAAATCGGTCGATGATTGAGTTAATTGCACTGCTTTTCTCAAATTATTTTATCTCGAGTTGATGGAGATGTGTGACGCCGACTTTACGACGTCAGGAACGAAATATCGTTTATAAATATAATTTACAATTAACATGTTCAGTTTTATTCCCATTTTCCTTAAATTAATATACTGATAGAAAAGAGTTCTATCAGTATGTTAATCTCGCAATATTTGTAACTGTTTAACCACTCACTTCCTACTGCTGGGAATTTTATTTTGTTCTTTCATTCGTGAGAAACGAATCTGAACACGGAGAGAAAAATTCAATAAAAATTACAAGAAAAAAAACGGAAAAATTACGTTTCGAAACACAATCCGCGAGCGAAGTAAAATTCAATAAAAAGTGTGAGTCGGAAATGAAATTGTTCGAATCACCACGTAAATTCTATGATTTGTTCCGTAAAAATTAATCACGTCGTTCCGTAATTTTTCCCCAACGATTGAGACATTTTACGGAACGGAGCGTAGAAATAATTCATCAGCTTCATAAAAATTTTTGAACGGTCAAGAATTTTTGATTCTGGAGGCACAATAAGTCGGCAAGTTTCTGTAAGATTTTACTTCTTCGGAAAAAATTACGTGACAATTTCGAACTTTGTTCGGTGATGAACCTGAAAATTCACTGAACGTTTCAGATTTCTTCTCTTCCATTCCTATAAAAACTGCCGGAAAACGATTCCCCATTGTGGATTTACGTGAATTGTTCCGTAACTTTTACTGAATATTTCTCTCCGTGAATTGAAAAAATTGATTTAGTCAATAATGCGGAAACACCGAATTATTGCGGCATACCCTGTAATCTTGCTCGGCAACCCTATCGAGAATCGGAGCGGGGGGATACAGCCTCAACGTTTCGTTGATAACTTGCGTGAGGTATTTCATTTGCTGAACTTTTTCGTAAGTCAGCTCACCACCCTCGAGCTTCTCCAGGATCTCCGCCCTCACGCGCTCTTGAATCTCCGGAGATTTTGCCAGCTCCCACAATGCGAATGATATCGTTGTCGCACTAGTCTCCAATCCAGCGACGAAAAATATAACTGATTGGGCCATAAGGGTGTCGTCTTCGAATTCTAAATGACCGATTTAATTCATAAATCATTATACTTTGGTTCCGAAGACCTAACGCGGTCGCTAGGAAATTTTACTGGATTTACATTCAAAATTTTATTGGTTTTCCGACGATTCGGTCGAGAAAGTACTGAAATAGTTAACAGAAAAAATTGATAGATTTGCAGTGTTCTAGAAAATATTTTCTATTGATCTTTTTTTGTTCAAAAAACACAAAAAACTGCCGAGTTTTTCAACAGAATGAGCGAAAAACAAACAAAACGCGTTAGATTTTGGTTTTAAAATTCGTCGTGTATACAGTGTTAAATATTTTCCACTGACATTTCCGGTTTCGAGGAATTTTGTCATTAAAAATTCATACTTTCATGGAGAAATCAGCTGGAACTGTAAATTTTAGTTTAATTATGCCGGAGAAATTAATGAAAAATCGGTAAAATTCCGAGAAATATCACATTGAATTCCAGATTCCTCTGAATTATAAAGGAATTCCCTGAAAATTCAAGGGATAAACTTGAAATTCCATTGACTTTTTCCCCTTAAATCGAGTTCAAGAGCTTTTTTCGGAAAATTCAGTCAAATTCTTTTAGCAGTGTATATATTAATGTCAAAAAAGTAATCAATTATTCATTAATTACTGAAAGGTCCGTCATCTTTGTCATGCTTCAATTTCAATAATGTATCCATGATGTCTCCTCTCTCGGACTTTGCCTCTGCCCTTGCCTGCATTGAACTGTTGAACATATTCTTAAAATATGACGTCTGTTTTCCGAGGAACGTCGAGGGAAGACAGTGCTCGACTACACGTGGGAAGAACGCCAAACAGAATAGCACTAGCGTTGAGAAGAGATTGTCGCTGAAAAAATCACGGCCTGAAAAAATTCTGGAATTAGTTCTCACAAGTTTTAGATATACATTGTTGGAAAATATAAAAATAGAACCGATGATTTAATAATATTGCAAGCACTCTTATCTTATCACCTGCAGTATCTTACGTATCACATCATAACAAATACTAACAAGTAATCGCGCGTAAAAAAAAGCGTAAAAAATTGTGCAATATCACGTATGATCAATTTGTATTGTTACGTCACCGATCCCGATAATGTACACTGTCGAAAACAATTGGCTGAATTGTGCGGAAGAGGAGTCTTGAATGCGATTTAAGTGGAAAAAGTCAATGAAATTTCAAGTTCCTTGGAAAATTCAAATAAAGTCCTATTTTTTTAGGGGCAGGAAGACGAAAATTCTACAATTTATATGAATTTTCAATAGAAAATAAATATTCACTGCCAAATTCACTACAATTTTTAGGTAATTCCTATAAAATTCTTGAAATTCTGGGAACTTTTGGAGGGATTTCCTGAACATTCAGAGGAATCTGGAATTCGAGGAAAGATTTCACCGAGTTTTCCTAATTTTTCATTAATTTTCCCGGAGTAATTGAACTGAAATTTCAATGGCAATTTCAAAGCAAATTCAAAGGAAAATTTTTAACAGTGTAATAGAACAATCTGACACTCTCCTGAAATTTCTCAAGCTTCAATACTTTCCGTTGACAGACAAAAGAATTTAACATTCCGTTGTTTTTATAAATTTTGTGATGGATTCCAAAAATTAGAGATGGATCCCGGACAATTACTAACGACGTCACTTGAAATCAGAGATAATATCAGTAAAAGGCAGTGGCAAAATCGCTAAATTTCAGAATTTCGCAATCGCGAATTCCCAAAAATCGCGGATAGAATCCTAAAATTTTTCTCATCGATTGACAACTCTCAAATATCCGTGAATGTTCAAAATAAATGCGTTCTAACTTCGTGTATAAAATTCGGACGTTGACTTCTCGAACGAATTAGTGCGAACCCCGAACGCCAACGAGGAAATGATATCAGTGGTGTATCTGGTGCTCGCGTCCCTAACTTCTATGGTCCTCTTCCCGCTCGAGTCAATCCTGAATTGATTTTCCAAATGCGTCTTCAAGGATTCCGATGACTCCAGCATGAGACCGAACAGTGCCTTCAATTTCCCAGAGCTAAACGCGGGGGACAGTTTGTTCCTCAAATACTGCCACTGCGGATTGTCAATAGAGAACAAATTCTGCGTTCCAATTTTATCCCGCCCATTCTTCACAGCGAAGTGTCGGCTCGAGAAGACGTTAAAGTCTTTTATGAATATCTGCTTGACGAGGTGGGGATCCCTCAGCAGGAGAAATGGCTTCTGGAAGATGTAGATCCCGAGGAATTTCGCATCTGACGGGGCTTGATTGTACAGTTGACCGAGGAGATATCCCGGTGATATGCGGAGGAATATCGAATCCGCGAAATTTCCGAAGAATATACTCGTTGGGAGAGTTGGAACTCCTCGGCGTTGCCAATACGACAATTTCCACTTGGCCCAGATGTAAAAAATTCCGAGGAGAACACAGACAGTTGTTATCACTGCGGCAACTGAGAATGCCATCGCTGGTGGAGTGCAAAATTCAAACGATCGCGCTGGTACGTCCGATCGGAATGTGCACTGCGGAGATGAGTGAGTGATTGCTCGAGCTCTCACATGAAGAGTAGAGAGGGACTGCAGTCCGGGTATTGGTGCATTGGAGATTTCCCCTCCACGATCTTCGGGATTGTTATTCGGCATCAATCATATTTCCACTGTTTCTATATTTACGGCGCTTTATCTTCGTGGTGAGGCGAAATTAATGAAGAGTGAATGGAGTAATTGGGAGCTGAAAATTTTGATTAAAAAAATTCGGTTTTTCGCTGATTCTATTGAAAAATCCTCTAGCTCTTCTTGAATTTTTACTTTTAGCAATTTTTTGATTGAAATTTTTTAGATATTTCTCGCTGGGGGTTTTTAATGAGAAAAAATGTAAGAACAAATTTAGATATTTTGTATCGAAGAGTTTCTGTAGAAAATATCTCAATAACATAAGTTGTTTTGAAGAAGCGATGTTTTGTATTGGTGCATCGGCCGGTGATTTCTCTCGACAATCTTCGGCATTAATATGCATGATCGCTCGTATTTACTGTTCATTGTCATATCCATTAGATCTAATTAATGAGGAGTCCGTGAATAGAATCATTACGAGACTGGACTTTAAGAGTGACGATTCTGTTGTTTATCGATATGGCAATTACTGGAATGAGTTTGCAATTTGCTAAGATTCCCATATAAAAATAGATAACGAAAAACTGTTATGATTTAAAATTTTCACAATTACTGAGAAGTTTGAGAGAAAAAAATTCTATTTGCTTTCGCTTATTCTATTGAAAAAATGAATAGCATGAGTTCTTGTACAGAACAAAATTTTTTATTCGTTTTTCTTAACTTGAATAGAATTACGTATCAAATATTGTACCTAAATTCGATGTAAATCCTCTCGTTTCATTTGAAAAATTATGAAAAGGGAAAAATATCTATATTCTGTAATACCCGTTTTCAATTCATCATTTATTTCTGGTATATTTCGACTGTACAATAGGTACTTACATTTTAAATTCTTATATATACATAACACAATACGTTACTCTTTATCCTCCGAGATGATTACATCAACTTCAAATATCTGAGACTTTATTTATGTACATTCTATAATGTTAGTGGAACGGCGAGTCAAGTTGGGTGATTGAAAATTTTCCTGATTGGTCCTGAATGGTTTATTTACTGGACGAGAGTGATTTTTAAATAGGAGATATATCATTTCTTCATTATTATTTGGCATTCGATACTTCTGGTACATTCAGCTTTGGAGAGTGTGCGCACCTCTTATTCTATTCATCTGTCTGCAATATTTATATACATTTGAAGCAACTAGTGACATGGTTTTGCTGGAGATCTTAACAGTAATTCTACTTTGGTCTAATTATTGTTTTCGTGACTTGGAGGGTCTTCATCTCTTTGAGTAATCTCATTTTTCTTTGGGCTTGTCGAGGTGCTGTGCTAATCCATCTATTCGTCGACTGTTCAATTAAAATCTGAGAATTACCGATTGAATGAAAAAATTAGAGACTTCGGTTGTTATGGAATATCTCGAATTTAATAAGATAGCGAAGTTTTCAAATCTTTTCCATTTTTGTCTACAAAAAAATTCGTTATAAAACTTATGATTTCTTCTACATTCGAATATATTTATTAAAAACTCGCTGTTGAGTTGAGCTGACTTCTCTAATTTTACTATTTTAGTACTGATTTAATTTATAAACAATGAGAACCCTTTTCTCTATTAATTATTTGAAATTAATTCATTATTCTGTTCATTTCATTACGTTTTTTAAATTGCTTTTTATTCTGTTGTAAAGGATTAAGAGGAGATTGTTTCGAACACTTCAAGGGAATGTCGAGAATGTGTGCTAATAATCTGGAAGTAAATTCTAGACTCTTCTCCTTTCACTGAATTTCTAGGATTTAATATCAGAGCGACCCTCCTTCACATATAAACCTACGACACGCAACTTAATAATCGCATTATAATCTAACTCTCACTAGTACATTTAAAAAGGAAAAAAAGTCACGTAATATGGCAGATAAAAATTTCATTATTCCATCATTTTTGTCTTTATCGATAATAAATATTCGAGAGGTATTTAGTATTTGTCCATTGAACACTTCAATTACGAGAGAGAAATGAAAGGTACAAAAGAGTAATGATGAAGAATTTCTCGAGGATGATACATCACAGAGTAAAAACTACACAACAGAGTTGAACTCGAAACGACTGAAGAACGAAATCGGCAGTTTTTCCAAGCAATTAAAAATAAAAAAATCAAATGATCACTTGGATTTCACACAACGTACGTATGTACATTAACAAAAAAGAACGAAAAATATCATGTCATGTCACGTGAACCATGATAAATCACAATTGAGGTTTTCGATAATGAAGAAATCAAATGGAAACGATTGAAACAAGTATTAACAATAAATGGAATAATAGCGTTATAAATATCTTTGGTAAAATTTATACGTCTTTGTATATTTGTGAGAGTTGTGGTGGAGAAGCGTATGAACTACTTGTGAATTGAATAAAAATTTCAATTCTCATTAAACGTTTATGTTAATAAACACAAATTTAACAAATGTGGAATAAATTTAATTTGTTTCAAAATCCATTTCTGATAATTCATCCTCAATTAACAATAGATAAATTGATTCGTCAATGAAATAATTAGAAAAATCTCTCATCATTTCTTCCCTTCAAACTCCACATTTAAATAATGAATAAATGAAAAAATCCATAAAATCTTTCACCACAACTCTCGCACAATTTATAAGAAACTACAATTTCAACCTCATCTACAAACACTTAATTTCTCACTTCTCTAAGACAACATTTTCGCTCCATCTCTCCGAAAAATGCGGCAAGAATCTCATGACTCGAGTTAATTCCCTTAACCCGAGTTAATTCGTCAGGTAACTCGTTAAAAATCACGTTAAACTAGGTGAGACGGTTATTGTACAAACTTTAACATATACTCGAGATCCCGTGGGTCAGACTCTTTTCAAGGACAATGTGGAATTCACTGAGGGGCTCCAGAATGTGAATGAGAAAGTGCAGGAGACTTGGGTTCCTCAGAAACGACGTTTCCTCGTACATCTCTGCTGTTGAACGGGCTTCACTCATCGGACGAAGCATTGGGTGGAGCAATTGTTCCCTGGAATATATTAAAATATGTAGCGATCCTTCATGGAACGAGTATTCAATCACTATTCAGAATAAAATGATTCAAAGAGTATTTCACGATTTTTTCCAATTTTTTTTAAAGCTAAACTTCACGTTTATTTCATATTTTCAAATGATTCTTAACGATTTAAGAAGGAGAATCCAATTGAGACCTTCAAAATTTCAAAAGTAAAGTCATTATAAAATGGTTTTAAATAAAAACGACTCCTGTTTGTCTCTGAAAGTATTATATCCAAAGTCCACATAAGTCTTTGCCACAACTCAGGGCATGAATACACATCTTTCCCCTAAAATCAACTGATACTCTCAACTTACCTAGCAGACAAGCAAATAAACAGCTGAAACTTTCCATCCTTCCCGAGTGTCTGACTAAAAGTATTGATCTGATCGATCAAATGACAGTAGCACCTGAGAATAGTGAACCTCTGGTTGTTCTCAGCATGATGCAGCCTCCTGTCCCTGTTGATCCGCTTGGAGTACTCGTCCATCTCCTCCAGGAGAGACATCTCAAAGTTCTCCTTGACCCTCAGCAGATAATCCCAGACGTAAAAATTCCTCCCGAAGATCCTCTGGTTCTTGAAGCCATACAGGAAAGTCTGCTCCAGAGAGGGCACCAGCCCGCCCTCTCCACACAGCAGAGCAGTGAGGGAGCCGTCCTGAGGGTCTCTCCTGTAATGGAACTTGACGATGGCATTGACAGCCTCGCCCAGCATGTGCTGCAGCTCGTCAGGTGACAGGGTTGGACGTCGTGGAATGCTTGGAGATCGACACCTGGGGGGTGTTGAGCACGTCTCCACGAGCTCATCACTGTCGATGCTCCTGGGCACCAGTGCACCCACCAGTAATCTCTCAGTGGAGCCATCGTCGATCCCTCGACCCAGCCATCGACCACAGGGAAACTTGAAAGTGTGACCTGTCACCTCGTTTCTCACCACCACGTGCTCCACCATCCACTTGGGCGACAGCCCGGTATTGTCGTGGCCTATTCGAAGGGTCGACAGCACCCCCAGGTTCTTGTGGTGGAAGACGAACTCGAGGGCACCCTTGGGAATGGGCACTGGATTCGTCTCGCACAGAGTTCCTGACATCGCCACCCAACTGTTCGCTGATGTCGTCGCTGCACTCGCTTTTCTACTCGGGAATATCACCACTCGGTAGGGGAGCTTCGTCGTCGGGTAGTTGTTCGTGAAGCAGAAGTAATCGACTGCGTTCAGGGTCAGAAGGTGGTACAGAAACTGCTCTTTCTCCTCCTCGCAGCGGAGGAATGCTGAACGCTTGTATTGACTTCTGCATGATTGAAAATTACAGAGGATTCTTCAACTGTTGCGGTGTTGGGAATTTTTTAAATTAAATTACAGTTTTTTTATTGCTTAAGGTTCAAATCTTACGGATTGACCAGTAAAAAACAGTTAATTAAGAAGATATTTTAATTTTAATTCTTAGTCAATCACTATTCAGGGTAAAATGACTCGAAGAGTATTTTATGAATTATTCCAATTTTCTTTAAAGCTAAACTACATTTATTTCATGTTTTCAAATGATTCTTAACGATTTAAGAAGGAAAATCCAATTGAGACCTTCTAAATTTCAAAAGTAAAGTCATTGTAAAATGGGGTTTAAATGAAAGTTCTGATATTCATTTTTGAAATTAAATAACGGTTTTTTTATTGCTTAAAGTGCTTGAATCTGTAAGATTTATTTGTACGGTCGGCAATGTTCTATTGACTTAATCTAAATATTTACATTTGTTACAATTATTGGTTTCAGATATTTACTCTACTATTTATGATAAATTTGTGTAGTATTTTAAGGATTTGTGAAATTTTTAATTGTTTCAGTTCTCTAATGAGTGTTGTCCTTTCATTACGTAAGAGTTACTGTGGATTTTCAATGTCGTGAGATTAGAGTCAATTTAAGATCAAATCTTTCTCAATTATTCACTCGTGTTGGAATTTCAAGAAAGAAATTGAGGAAATCCAAGAGAAAAAAAGATACTCTTCTCATTCACGTAACACTCTGCGTGTGAATTACTCAGTTATCTCCTTTGACATTCCCCTCCTGAGTTACACGATGAGTTAGAAGGATATGAGAAGGAAGGGGATGTCTTACCTCAGCAGCGCTGTGTCCGATAACAGTGTCTTCAGGTGTCGGGACAGCAGTTTTTTCTCGAGAGCGAGACGAACCCAGGCGCGTGCATATCCAATGTGCGTTTTAATCTCAGTCATGGCTTGGATGTTTCGGATGTCGAAGGTCAGAGAGTCCGGCAGCGGGCGGAGGTGTTCCGGACCGATGGATTTTCTCTCACCGCCGGATCGACGATCACTTCCTCCACGGGTGGGAGAAACATCCGTTTCCAAAGCCAAGTTTGATAAATCTGAATTTTTTTTAGGGGGGGAATTTTTTTAATTCAGTGGATCCGACTCTCTCTGAGGCGCTAGACACACTTGGACATTTTCGGATTTATATACATGAGTGGTACATTGGGATTTATGTACATTCGATCATGTACTCGATGATGTATTCGATTATGAATGTTTTTGCACAGGTTCAAATGACATATAAAAATGACTTCTCCTTTTTTTTTAAATTCTTCGCAACATTTGCAGTATCTTTTACAGTTTCAATTATCAAAGTTGTCAATTGAATTGTGAGAAAAATTTGAAAAAAATCATGAATATTCAGCGTCATTCAAATTACATTTTGCACAGTATTATTTTTTTTTAATTCGTTGTGTATAAATAATGAAGTGAAATTGTGTAAACTTTCGGAAACCGTATTTTTTTAGGCATGAAATCAATTTCTGGTAAATTTCTGAGTATCAATAAATTTCTTGATTCCCAACAAATGATTTTTATGGTGGAAAGTTATTTTTTTACTCTCAATTT